TTGCACAAAACGCATGATCGCACCGGCTAGCCTGGTGCGCGTTGCCATTTATTCATCTCGAGACCGACAAAAGCTACAGGGCTGAAACTTTGGGGAGTTAATCTACATGCACGTACGACCCACCATCCTCAAAATAGGCGGTCTTACTCGCGTGGTACCCACGTAAGAGCCCGCCAAAATTTTTTACGGGTACGCTTCTAACTCACGAACCAGAAAAGCTAGAAAACTGAAATTTTAGGGCGATTTTCTCCATTTAAGCAGGTATTAATGAGTTCAGACCCAGCCTCCGGGTAAGCGTGGTGCCCGTGTACGTGCCCACCAAAATTTTTTTCGGGTAACCTGAAAAGCTAGAAGACTGTAATATTAAGAGGATGTTCCCTGCCTACATTAGTCTCAACGGGCTCAAATCCAGCTTTCGGTTAAGCGTGGTACCTATGCAAAATTTTCCTCGGGTAAGTTCATAACTCGAGAACCTGAAAAGCTAAAAGACTGTAGTTTTAAGATGTTCCCTGTCCAAGTAAGTGTTAGCGAGCTCAAACCCAGACATCGGGTACGCGTGGTACCCGCGTGCGGGCCCATGAAAGTTTTTTTCCAGTAAGTTGCTAACTCAGGAGCCAGGAAAACTAGAAAGCTGAAATTTTAAGGGGGTATTCCCTGCCAGTTCTGGCGGCCAGTCTTAATTTGCTTAGCTAGAAGCATTTGCCGAAAAAACCGATGGCGGTAACGACAAAAACTGCGGGGTACTATGCAAAAAACGCATCTTCGCACGGGCAGCCCGTGCGTTGGCCAATTATTCTCTGTACTGCTGTGTCCAGTTCTTGTCCCAAGTTCCTGACTTGGATCCTCGTTCCCCTTCTCTAGTCTGTCCTAAAATCGTATTCCCAAAGCGGTATCCGAGCTCCTCTCCGTCCCACTGTAAAATCACTCTGGAAGCAAGTAGTATTTTAGCTGTTTTCCGTCCCCGAGTATTCCCGGCCAAAAAACCAGAAGCACACTCCCTCTTTTCTACCCACCATTCCCTTCCTCTCCTATACGTGGCCTAGCCAACTGTCAAAGAACCCACGCCACGTAGCCGTTCAATCCATCCACCTAACCGTCCTCCCTCCCCTACCCCACGCCTTGCCTCCTAACCCCCGTTCGCGAAACCTTCATGCACCGTCCTCTCACCCCGACTTTATCTGCGGCACACACGGTCCTTTGACACCCGCCATCGAGATAAAACATTTTTTATGCGTTTTTTGCATCTATGCAATGCAAAAACGCATATGTCGAGGGGTTGTCTGTGTGTGTGTGTCTGTGTGTATGTGTGTGTGTATGTGTGTCTGTGTGTGCGTCTGTAACGAGTCTTCATCTCGAAATCCACAAAAGCTACAAGACTGAAAATTTGGTGACTTAATCTAGACATT